TTGTCCATTTCCAGGGCGTGGGCATTGGCGTCTTGTGGAATTTGTGTTTGAAAGTGCGAGGATTCTGCTCCCCAGTGCGGCGGAAGCCCAAGTCGGCCCCCTCGACAGCTTTCGCTAAACACACACAGGAAGCTCTTTAGAGAATCAGAACACAGAACCGAATGTCAGAATGTCATCATCTTTATTATCTTCAATAACTGCTGAATAGACTGCATCTTTTTACTTGGAATGGCCATGATCTGCTTCAATTAATTGAAATTTTGCTGCATTAACCTCTTGCCTCAATATCCTTCCCTTTGCTTTTGACTTCAATTTTTTTCTTTTCTCACAGACGCGCCACGATGAAGCGGGCCATGGGCGGGGCGCGCGCGCGCTCCTGGTGGTGCGTTGTCGTCGTTGTGGCGCGACGGGCAAGTGCTGCCGAGGTGCAAGCGACGTCATGGATGAACGGGTGGCCAAGCGACATTGCCGCGTGACCGTCATGGATTTACCATTCTTGCTGATCTCGTGTTGGGCTGCCATTTGTTGTCAAGACAATTCCTCGCTCTGACCCATGAAGAGCCGCGATGGCTCGTGCGCTGATGGACGCGCTAGCGAGGCCCAAGAGCCACGGTGCCTGGTCAGATCCGGCACGAAGCACTCCCGCTCAAATGCAGGTGAGAAACCGATCTTAGGCCCGCTTTTGAAGATGCTATCCATGTTGCCCACTGCCAGAGAGTGATTTTTGCGATTTTTGACGCGCGAATCGCCGGGCGTTTCTGACGGTAGTGCTGTGTCACAGGGTAGCCGCAGGTGGATGAGGACCTTATGATAAGGACCGAGCACGCGAGAAAACTGCGATGTGTGTTTTTTTTCGACTTGCGCCAGAGATTGTGACCAGGGGCCCGGCTGCCATTTGGTGTCGGCTGACGAGCGCACCTTTAGGCCGTTTCGAGGGGGGATACTAATGGTGGGGCTGGCGGGTCACAGGGCGGCCAACGGTGGACGAGGGCTCCATAGGGAGCAGCGGAAGCTCGTGAAGAAAAGCGAGGTGAGATTTGGTTTGACGTGCGCCGAAAATTGTGACCACAGGCCCGGCTGCCATTTGGTGTTGGCCGAGGAGCCAAGGCGCGCTTTTTTTTTTTTTTGGCCCTTGAGGGGGGTACTAATGGTGGGGCTGGCGTGTCACAGGATAGCCACAGGTGGATAAATACTTCCCATTGAGCACTGGAAGCGTGCGAAGAATGCGTGGTGAGCTTTGTTTTGACGTGCGCCGAAAACTGTGACCAGGGGGCCGGCTGCTATTTGGTGTTGGGCAAGGAGCCAAGGCGCGCCTTTGGTTTTTTTTTTGGCCGTTGAGCGGGGTGCTAATGGTGGGGCTGGCGGGTCACAGGGCGGCCAACGATGGATGAGGACTCCAAAGTGAGCAGCGAATGCGTGTGAAGAATGCCAGGTGAGCTTTGTTGTGACGTACGCCGTAAATTGTGACCAGGGGGCAGGCTGCCATTTGGTGTTGGCCAAGGAGCCAAGGCGCGCCTTTGGTTTTTTTTTTGGCCGTTGAGCGGGGTGCTAATGGTGGGGCTGTCGTGTCACAGGATAGCCACAGGTGGATGAATACTTCCCATTGAGCAGCGGAAGCGTGCGAAGAATGCGTGGTGAGCTTTGTTTTGACGTGCGCCGAAACTTGTGACCACTGGCCCGGCTGCCATTTGGTGTCGGCTGAGGAGCGCACCTTTTGTTTGTTTTGGCCGTTTCGAGGGGGGTACTCATGGTGAGGCTGGCGGGTCACAGGGCGGCCAACGATGGATGAGGACTCCAAAGTGAACCGAATGCGTGTCAAGAATGCCAGGTGAGCTTTGTTGTGACGTACGCCGTAAATTGTGACCAGGGGGCAGGCTGCCATTTGGTGTTGGCCAAGGAGCCAAGGCGCGCCTTTGGTTTTTTTTTTGGCCGTTGAGCGGGGTGCTAATGGTGGGGCTGTCGTGTCACAGGATAGCCACAGGTGGAAGCGTGCGAAGAATGCGTGGTGAGCTTTGTTTTGACGTGCACCGAAAATTGTGACCAGGGGCCCGGCTGCCATTTGGTGTTCCAAAGAGCCAAGGCGCGCCTATGGTCGTTTTAAGGTTAGAAGGGGGTGCTAATGGTGGGGCTGGTGGGTCACAGGGCGGCCANCGATGGATGAGGACTCCAAAGTGAACCGAATGCGTGTCAAGAATGCCAGGTGAGCTTTGTTGTGACGTACGCCGTAAATTGTGACCAGGGGGCAGGCTGCCATTTGGTGTTGCGGCGCGCTGTTTGCTTTGTTTGAGCCGCTTCGAGGGGGTACTAATGGTTGGGCTTGCGTGTCACAGGATGGTTCCAGGTGGACGAGAACTCCATCGTGAGCACCGAAAGCGCGTCAAGCAGATGACGTATGCTTTGTTTTGACGTGCGCCGAAAATTGTGACCAGGGGCCCGGCTGTCACTCGGTCTTCGCGAATGGCCCGTCGCTCGCATTTGTTCAATTTTTGGGTTCTTTTTGTCGTGGCGGCCATTAACTTGACATGCCATGTCAACGTGCGAGCTTTTGGTGCGCTGTACTGTCGGTACTCAATCGAATCATTCGGGATGTTTATTGTCGTGTGGGTTTGGCGCAACCGCTAACAGCGACACGATCGGAGGCTAACCGCTAATGCGTTAGTAGAAGGGTCGTTGAAAGACATCAATTTATAATATCAAAGCGAGGAAGCAAAAGTTTGAAACGCGTTCAAGGATACAAGTTGAGAGAAAGGGAAGCAGGTGGCGTGAGGTTAGGTACATGATCATTGAGCGTGAAGTAGGAATCGAGCAACAAAGCGGCGGAGGGGAAGATGAAAATGCGGCAATCAGGTTGAAAATCAGGAAGTATGCAAAGCAGATGAATTTGAGAGAGCAGGATGGGGAGGCAGCGTTTGGCAAAATGTGTGATTGAAAGAGCAGCAAGAGTAGAGGGAAAGATGATCGGTTCGGAAAGTCAACTTTCAGGAGAAGAGAGATTTGGAGAGGGGAAGCGCAACAGGTAGCGGGTGGGACGAGCGGGAAGGTAAAAGATCAATAAAATAAAAATAAAAAATACAGGTGCGAGATGGGGCGAGAGAGGAGAAGGATGGGAAAGGTAAACGGAAGATATTGAACGAAGGAGAAGGATTGAAAGAGATGGGAGCGAGCGAGTGGCGAACAGCATGAGCAGTGGGACAAGCAGACGGCGAAGCGAGGAAAAAAACAAAAAGCATGGGAGAAGATGGAAGGGGCATTGATGGGATGGCAGGGGAAGAGACGAAAAGGGGGCACGGAGGAAGGGAGGAAGTGAAGGTGAGGGGAAGGGTCAGGAGTCGATGAAAGGGAGAATTAACATCTAGTGTAAGGAATTCCGGGAATGATCCACCTTCCTTGTGATGACATTAAGACGCAGTTGTTAGCGTCAAGAATTTCTGTTGGCTAGTGTGAGAGAGAGCGTGTTATTTGACTGGCGTTGTCACACAAATTTGGGGCAGATTCGATGTTGGCGAATCCAAGGTTCGTAAGACCTGTTTCACCAAACCCCTCTATTCTCATGTTGACTATAATTCCACAATGCCTCTCTTTTTTTACTAAATTCACAATGCCTCATTTTACATGTTATTCCAAATTCATAATGCCTCTCTTATTTTACATGTATTTCTAAATTTACAATGCCTCTCTTATTTTACATGTATTTCCAAATTCATAATGCCTCTCTTATTTTACATGTCTTCCTAAATTCATAATGCCTCTCTTATTTTACATGTCTCTCTAAATTCACAATGCCTCTCTTATTTTACATGACTTCCTAAATCCTAACGCTATTCAACTTGTTATACTTTGGATGTGTATTACCTTCATTCGTCATGCCAGCCAAAACTACATGCCGATTCCCATTTGCATGACAACAACTCTCATGTCCTCACTCCACAGTTGTCAGATGGCTTGCAAGCAGCAAATAAGTGTGATGAAGTTTTACTTTCTTTCTTGCTTGCATTAAATCAATCACAAAAATCTTTGACCGCTTCGTTCTCTCACAAGAGCCACGAGCTACTCCAACGCACCCTGCACCACTCAAGCATGCCAAGGGCACGAGAAGCCTCATGCTCGCGATGCAACTTGATCTTTTCCAGTCGTATTGCGAGAGATCAGCATGTTGCTCAGGTACGTTGGATCGTCGATCTTCCTGACTGGCTGACTTCCCCTCTCAAAAAAAAAAAAAAAAAAAAAAAAAAAAAAAAAAAAAAAAAAAAAAAAAATCTTATCATATCTGAACACATAGGTGCATCAAAAAAGCACGCAAATCACGCTGCATGGAAAATCGCTGGTCAGGTACC